CCCAGCAAGCCATCTCAAACTGGTTCAGCTCTCGAAATGGGCATCACCATTTAACACAACACAGAAACACACAACTGCAGGGACTTCCTGGTAAGGCCCTGCCCACCCTTTGAGGCTTCACGTCCAACACCTTGGCATCGTGCGGCTGTCCCTCTGACCCGCCTGCTCCTTCTTCCCGCTGCCAGGCGTCTCGCCTGATACTTCCTCACAGTGTATGATCCTCAAGCTTGAAAAGAGCAACAGCTTCACGGATGGAGGGCGAGACGTTTGCAAATTGTGCCTCTCGCCCCAGCGCCGCGCGCATTCATTCTGAAAGGTTGCAACAGTTTCACGGATGGAGGGCGAGCCATTTTCCAACTGCGGTTCTCGCGTTACCGCTCCGCAAATTAAATTTGAAAGTGTGCGACAGTTTCACGGATGGAGGGCGAGTCATGTTCAAAATGTGGCTCTCACTTAGTTCCACGCACATTCGTCTGAAACGTTTACAGCATATTCACGGATGAAGGTCGGTTCGTTTCAAAGATTGGCTCTCGCATCAGTGCCGCGCTCATTCGTTCTGAAAGCTTGCAACAATTTGAAAGATTCGCATGGTCGGAGTCCCAGGAATGGCACGCTGGTAAGATTTAGAAGTGTCAGAACGCATCAATCATGTTGATTCGTGGTGCCTTTGTCCCAAGAATTGTGTTCTGATAGGGTTTACGATTGTCAGGACGCAACAGAAACGTCGACTCGCGACGCTGAAGTCCCAGGACGGGTCTTCTGGCACGATTGAGAATTTCAGACGTTTGTTTTCAAATGGAGCATGTCCCGCAATTACAACAAACTATTATAGGGTCCCGTGAAGAGTGAACTTAGAGGGAAACTTTATTTGCAACATCGCTGATACGTCTTAGGTCTACACTGATCCTCCTCCGCCTCTTCCTCTTCATCATCATCATCATCAGCACCACGATCACCATCATCATCATCAGCAGCAGCATCGTCATCATTATTAGTATCATCATCATCAGCATCATCAGTATCAGCATGAACATCATCACCATCATCATCATCATCATCATCATCAGCATCATCATCATCATCAGCATCATCATCATCCACCACCACATGACAACGATCCCCCAAGACACGCAGAGAAGGAAAGAACAGGAGGACACACTGAGCCCCAGGGCTGCAGGGACTGCTGGTGATACGAAAACAGCACTATCCATCTGATGCGTACCTCGCCAACGTCCAGGGCCAGCCCCCTCATTGGCAGCGTCCTCCTCCTCCTCCTCCTCCTCCTCCTCCTCCTCCTCCTCCTCCCCCTGCCAAATCCACCTCTCAAAGAAGGCATTCGCGCCGAAGAGATGAGTGAGCCCACTTTCCCGCCTAGGGCGGAGAACATAACGACCGCCTGCTCCCTGCCTAAGAAAAACAGTCGGAACCGAAACGCGCTGCGATCCCCGTGTCCTCCCCTCAGGCATGGTGAGGCAACTTTCAAAAGCACAGAATGCTCGACTCCACAGAACTCATACACGTGTCGTGGGACCACACAGGGTTCTGCTCAAGCAGCGCAGCGCACACGCCGGGGCAGCCGCCCCTCCGGCCAGGGGCCCCTCCTGGAAGCGGCTCGCCAGCTGCTCCGTGGAATTGTCCCCCATGGACAGCCGGCAATACTCGAAAGATGGATCCTGGGTGCAAGCATGATGAAAGGAGATGACGCTGTTGAATTCGCATTACCATATGTATATATATATATATATATATATATATATATAAAGGTTCCTCTTCCTATATTGTAATAAGCCCGAGCGGGGGGAAAACCCATCACCCCCCCCCCCAAACCGAACTCCTAGGACCTGGGGCTTTGGGGCCCTCCGGACGGCCTCGAAGCGGCCACCGGGCCTCGCAAGGCGTTTTGCCAAGCCTTCCCAGCACACTTAGGGCGATCAGGGGGTCATCGGAGACGTCCCAGAGACCCCCAAGACAGCACAAGAGCGCTCCAAGAGTGACCAACGTGACCTCCAGATGGCCCAAGAGGCCTCCAGGACGGCCCCAAAGAGGCCTCCAAGAGCACTCCCAAGAAGGCCCCCCGAGGCAAAAATCATTGATTTTCTGTGCGTGTTGATGAATTTTGGGGTTCTCCTCTTTTCGGCTTCCCGACGCTCCGAGACGGCGGTCTTCTGGGCGTGCAAAGCCGCCTGGGAGGCTCCCAAATCGCCCCACAACCATCCGAAAGGGCTTCCAGGCAGCCCAAGAGAGCCCCAAAACGGCACAACACGGGTCCAAGATGGCCCTCAGAGAGCCCCATGGCGGCCCAAGATGGCCCAAAAACACCCTCCGAAGAATTCCGAATCGTGATCTGGTCGTTCAGGGAGACGGCGGTTGGAGGCAAATTGGCCCGAGGAAGCCCCCGGAGGCCCCCAGAATGCGCCCAGGAGGCCTCCAGAAGGCCTTAAGAAAACCCGAAACAACTTTTATGAGCCCCCTAGAGGCTCTCCAAGGAGGAGCCTCCGCAAAAAAGAGCTGAGAAAGATGGGGAGAATGCGCAGTGTACGGCGAACATAAGGAACAATAAGCATGGAGGCAGGATAACGAATAACATCATTATAGCGGCGATGCCGGAAAAGGCAACCAGGAGTTATCGCTAAATTGTCGGCTTGACCTTCCTGCCATTCCGCCTGCATACCAAACTTCAAGGACCAAGGTGCATGGCGCGGAGCGCCACTGCAGTCTTGTATATACATATATATGTAAATATGTGTGCGTGTGTGTTGGTCCACCCTTCGGTGCCCATTGAACTGTTCGTCTGGAGTGACCCCCCCGATGGCAGGCACCGTGTCTTTGTCACAACGTAAAAGTCTTGAGGCGCAGACTGCGCCCCCCCTGGCCCCGCAGTTCGAAGCGACAGCGGCAACAACCACGGTTCCCTCCGGATGCCTCCCCGCACTTTTATCAAAATCGCGCTTTCGCGCGGGACCCCAGCACAGTGCATGCAGGAATCGCGCTCAGGCCCGAGAATTCCCCACCATGTATTGAAACGCCGCGCCTTCGACATTTAGCGGCCACTCTTGTTCTGGGCGTCCTGACGACATACTTGGGAACCACGCTATCGTTTGAGACTCCCTCGCGATTCACGTAGGACTCACGCTCAAGCGCTTTCGCGCGGGACTTCTTCACAATGTATCAAGGAATCGCTGTCTCATGCGGGAGCAGCTCGGATGAAGAAAACCACAAGCTGCCCAACTGACGGGAAGGGGCCTCCACCACGCCTCCACCATGCATGAAAAAGGGCAACGCAGAAGTACAAAAGACAACGAAGAATGAAGAGAGATGGCACCGCGCCCACACATCCAGAGATCAAGCCCAGGGCGGGTGGCCGAAAACTGATCACCACAGAAATGCACCGCAAGGTTAAAAACCTTTGCCGACATGCCGGCGACGCGTCTGACGCGCGCGGGTTGGCTCCAGAAAAAGCTGCGGTGCTCAGAGATCTGTTGCACTGAAACAGATCCTGGCTGACGGGAACTACGGCTCAAAAACATCAACGGCCCGTGCTGAACGGCATATTGTCTCGAGGAACAGTCCCAACCGCCTCGGATCGCAACAACGCCGCCCTTCTGCCACCCATCTTCCGCAAGACGGTTCCCACACTCCGGGGAAAAAGTGTGGCAAGGCAGGAGCATTATAACGGTCGAAATAGGGAGGAGGAGGAGGAGGAGGAGGAGGAGGAGGAGGAGGAGGAGGAGGAGGACAACTAGACAAACTGGCGGGAGCTCACGCCTACAGCGGCCAGGAACGTGTCGAGGAAGCCGCAGCGGGACCCCTCGGAGACGCCCATTGTGCTAGGGACCCCTCGGGGAGCTGGCGGGCCCAGGCGCCCGCGACGGCCACCGCCGAGGCCGAGCCCCGTTTTGGCCACGACGGAGCCCGCGTGAAGCCGAGAGCACCTGGGATACGCACTGAAGACCTCGAGAAACAGCTGTCCTTCAATCGGGGAGACGTAAGACTCGGGTACGGGGGACTCGGGTTGGCCCGACGGGGCCATCATAAAAACGACGAAACCCAATCTGAAATTCGACGCGAGCTCCCGCTGCAGACATCCCACGAAAACTGGACCGTCGAAATCCAGGACGCGCTCGTCAAAAAAAGTCGGCAAACCAGAGTTCCGGCTTACTCGGGTCTTGCGTTCCCCCGGTTCAACAGTGGGAGCCCATCAAAGGACCAATCACTGATGTGCCGATCGAAGGATGGAGCTCAACTGCAATGTTCCAGCGCGCGAGGCCGCCGGGCTGAACTGCGAAACTCTGTGTTGAAGGCTGCGAGCATAGATGGCGACCGCGGTGCCCCCAAGAGAGCTCGGGGGCGCGATGGCACGAGGGCGCGGGCCCCTCGGGGAGCACCGGAGCATGCGCCGCGCGCCCCCGATGGCGTCCGCCTGGGGCCGGCTGGGCGCTTCCGCGCCAAGCATGGCACCGTGGCGGCCCGGGCCGACATCTGAATCGCACTGCTCGGCCGCGGGCCCCGGCTCTGGGCGTAGGGAAGGAAACCGCGCACGAATTCTGCACTCGCCGGCGGGGCCGGCACAGCTCTCGCGGAGGCCTCTCGGCACCGCGGCGCCGGGTTCAGACACCTCCTGCCGCTGCAGCCTTGGGCGCCATGCTCAGAGGCCAAACTTCTGGATACCGTCCCTACCAATTGCGATCTCCGCCACCTGGATGTCCACGACCGAGAACATCGCTTGTTCCGGATCTCGTCGCTGTAGCCGCCGCCTTGTGCGCCGAAAAGGCCCCGTCCAATCGCACGGGTCCCCGAAGTTGTCCGGTTCCTTGGACATGTCGTCGCCCATCCACTACACGGTCCCTTCGAGCGCGGAGATGGGGAGGATGAGGCAAGCGAGCCCGAGCACGCCAAAGGGGTCGGTGAGCGCCCCAAGCACAGAAGGACTGCCCTCGAAACCAGGGAGCTTCACGAAGTGCTGGAACGCGGACGCGAAAGCGGCCATCATGGCCTGGCGCCCGCGCTTCAGCTCTGCGCTGCTAAGATTGTGGAAGCCCTTGTACTCGACGACCTGGCCGAAACCGAGCGGGTCGAAGTATTCGACGTTTGTAAATGCAATCTGGCCCGCAACCAGAAGGCGAACTCCTGCGAGCAGCCGAAGATGACCACTCACAAGCCTTGTGAGGGGGTCCGGACCCCCTTGAAGGGGGTCCGGCGCCACACACTTCTGGGGTGGGCAGTCGCATGCAAGACGCAGAGTGGCCGAAAAACTCGCACCGCACGCACGCAAGAGGCATGAAGTAGCCCAGGGGCGCCATCACGCCGACCGCCTTGGCGGGGTCGGAGGGAGGCTCCACGGCCTCCTTCGCGGCGGCCGCTGTGGCCAGGGGAAAGCATGCCCATCATGCCAACTACTCCAAGTTTCTAGCGCCTGCGGGCACCACTTGAGCCATTGGCGTGAGCCATGGCTTGAGCCAGGAGGTTCCCCAAACTGCCCCCAAGACAAGCCCAAGAAAAGCCCCATAGGGGGAACACGAACCGACAGTTCGAGCTTTCCGCCCCAAGACGACCTCCAAGAATGCCAGCAGGCCCCAAAGAAGCCCCCCTGAGGCTCCAGAAGACCCCCGAGAGGCCCCCGAGAGGCCCCTAGAGGCCCCTGGGAGGTACCCGAGCGGCACCAAAAACATAAACAAACCTCCTCCACCAGGCACCAGGCTCCTAAGGGCCCCCCCAAGAGATCCCATTAGGCATCCACGAGGCCTCTGACTTACAACCAAGGCACGATGGCGGGATGTGACGAAGGTCATTACCTGCATATGTTTATACATGTGTATACTTAAACATACATACATACATATCTATATATATATGTATACATACATACATACATACATACATACATACATACATACATACATACAGACAGACAGACAGACAGACAGACAGACAGACAGACAGACAGACATAAACATACATATAGACAGATACATACATACACATAGCCGTGGCACGTGCGTGCCCTAATTCATGCACATCGAGCAGGGAATGCAATCAATAGCGTTACACACGTTTTCGAGAAGTGTGCACTCGGTCTGGGGCAGCCACCATCTATCCCCCATGCGGCTGCGAATGCTGTACGCAATTGTGTTCGAAATTCATAGCACGAGTGTGTAGGTGAATGCTATGATGCACGGTAGGTTAAACACGCATATTTGCAAACGTAAGAAACATCCAGGACGTACCCTTCTCCACGCGAGGCGACGACTTGCATGACCACCAAATATACACGATATACGCTACCCTCCCACGAACCCACGAAAGTGGCGACAGTTGCACAGTTCGTAGCATCCCAGGGAACTGCGAGGTCTCGGCTGGATCCGCGTGGCCCCCAACTCCGCTGGACCCCCCAGGAGCATATAAGAATGGCATTGAATTGCGCATTTCTCAACCTCAATGGGTCTGCGTGGCCCCCGACTCCGCTGGACCTCCCAGGAACCCACGAAAGTGGCGACAGTTGCGCAGCTCGCAGACCCCCCGGGAGCCGCAAGCAGGAGGAGGAGGAGGAGGAGGAGGAGGAGGAGGAGGAGGAGGAGGGGAGGAGAGGAGAGGAGTGGAGACCACAGTGCTCTATCCAAAACGAGAACCCAACGCAGGAGGGTTTGAAAAAATGCACTAGCCTGAAATTATGAAAGGCAAAGCCGTTGATTACAAGCGTTTGTGATGCGCCAAACAGAACTCTTGGCACCATGCGCCTCTACCACGCGAGCGCAAAGTATCGACAATAACAATGGTTTCGAACATATCGAACAGAACTGCTGAAACAGCATAGGGATGTTCGATCGCGTTGTCGCATTGTGTGTGAGGGGTGCGTCCAGTTGTTTACGTATTGGGCATGTCCCACGCCATACCGCAACATCAAAAACGCTCGGCCACGCACGCAAATCATCGCTTCTGATAACGACGCCCACGGAGAGGAGCGTATGCATACATGCATACCTATACACGTGTACTGATACAAGCTTACACAGACGAGACTCACTGGCGTCTTCTTCTGGAACGCAGCAATGCAACGCTGGCACGGCCCATCGCCAGACCAAAACCTTTCCAGCCACCACGTCTGTCACATTGATTCACCAGACCGGCCTCCATCGGCCCTGGCCTCAAGCGAGGGGTGATCCTCGAGCCAACCTCCGCGCCTCCTCCACCTCCCCCTCCTGCTCCTCCTCCCCCCCTCCTCCTCCTCCTCCTCCTCCTCGTCCTCCGCCTCCTCCTCCTCCTCCTCCTCCTCCTCGTCCTCGACCTCCATTGGCCCTCCACCCACCGCCGTCCCCGTCCCCCGCGCCCCCCAACCCCCGTGCCCTCCCGTCGCCGCCCTCCGGCGTGACACGCTCGCCCCTCGCCCGCGCCCCGCCAAGCCAAAGGGGCAAGCCAGGAGTGGTGCTCGGCCGGGCGGTCTCCTTGTCGTGAAAATTCATCACTCCGCCCTGCGTTCGCGGCGGAGTGCAATTCAAAATGTACCTGGGGGGGGGCACTGCGCGGCAGCACTCCATGCAGAGGAAGAGAGACCGATGTGGCACTCGCGTAAGCGACTCCTTTGTGGCAACAACCCTGAACAACTTCAAACATGGGCCAGGGACAAGGGTATAGGCGGAGGCACCTAGAATGACCGCGGTATACAGAACCATGGCATCGTACGATAAAATTGTCCGTGTCATTGCGTGATTTGGTATAGTATGGTATAGCGCACTGTTCCCTCTATCATACCCTTTGGGGACAAATGGTCACAACAACTTGTGCAGCATGGCATAGGACACATTAATACGGCCCACATATGGTCGACTGCAGTATATGGCTGTCCCAGATGAAGAGAAGGAACAGAAGAAGAAGGATGAGGAAGGGTCTGACATGCTTGCGCCTCAGGATGTATTACAACATGCATGAGCCAACTACGAATACCATTACGCATGGGAGGGAATACGATTGACTATGTACGACTGGTGGCACTATGTATTCTATCAGCAGTACTACTAGCAGCAATGCTAGTGCCACCAAATCAACAACCAATATGGGAATCGACAATCACCCGGCCATTGGGCCCCAAATATTGACCGGCAGGCCATCACTGGATCGCCTTTCTGATGTGCACAGTTGACATTAACATGTATGGGCAATGACGGGGGTTGACATTGGAAAGCCTCCAACGGGGTTACACTGGCATCATAAATGGGGCCCAGTAGACTTTCAAATGGAATCCAACAGGGCCCTTATTGGACAGAGTCGGCGTCCAACGGAATTCCAAGGTCGGCTCCGCACTGCGCGTTTCCCTGTACTCCGTAAGCATTTGTTACCAGCCAACAGGATGACATGTGGGTTCCAATAGGATTCGAATAGGACTCCAATCGGCTCCCATGTGGCTTCACAGGATCTCGATATGAGCATTGATCACCATTAGGAACTGAATAGACATGTTCGTGTGGCACGGAAGTCAATATAGTTATGGGATACCAGAAATAATGGAATTGAAATCCGCCGGCCCCCTTGTGGGGCCACCAGGCTGTAGGCCCGTGATTCGCAGTTTCCTGTACCAGTCGTAGGTTGTAGTTTCCAGTGTTACAGTTCTGCTTCTTGCTGGTTACTGTAACTAGTTCACAAATTGCTGGTTACTGTAACTAGTTGATTGACCGCGCGAGGGGGGGGGAGGCCCAAACCGGCTTTTTAGCACCCCCTGGGCGCGTTGTCTGAATTGCTGGGGGGACTCGAAATCAACACCCCTCACGCGGATCCGCGGGGTCAGGGTCCAAAAACACAAGGGATTTGCCACATTTCTGAAATTCGGTGCCACCCCTCACGCAGATCCGCGGGGTCAGGGTCCAAAAACACAAGGGATTTGCCACATTTCTGAAATTCGGTGCCACCCCTCACGCAGATCCGCGGGGTCAGGGTCCAAAAACACATTTGCCACATTTCTGAAATTCGGTGCCACCCCTCACGCAGATCCGCGGGGTCAGGGTCCAAAAACACAGGGATTTGCCACATTTCTGAAATTCGGTGCCACCCCTCACGCAGATCCGCGGGGTCAGGGTCCAAAAACACAGGGGATTTGCCACATTTCTGAAATTCGGTGCCACCCCTCACGCAGATCCGCGGGGTCAGGGTCCAAAAACACAGGGATTTGCCACATTTCTGAAATTCGGTGCCACCCCTCACGCAGATCCGCGGGGTCAGGGTCCAAAAACACAAGGGATTTGCTACATTTCTGAAATTCGGTGCCACCCCTCACGCAGATCCGCGGGGTCAGGGTCCAAAAACACAGGGGATTTGCCACATTTCTGAAATTCGGTGCCACCCTTCACGCACATCCATCGCAAGGCGTGGTAACCCAAACTGCGAGAACTCCCTCGGCCCTTTAATCGCAAGGTGTGGTAACCAAGCCCGTAAACCATACACGTCTTACCAATCGCCAGGTGTGGTAACCCCTCTTGTGATCAGTTGGTTTTGCTGATTGCGAATCGGCTTCGCATGAAGTTTCGATACTGCTTCACGACAGCGCCAAGGCCTCATGACTTAGCTCTTCCATGGCCCATTCTCCGAGAGAGGGGGCCGGCGGCAGGGGGCGAAGCCCTTACGGATATTGAATTGCGGCATATAGGGTCAAGAGAAGCATGCTTTCAACGAAACTTCAATCGACATACTACTGTCCCATGGGAATCGAATTCAAGTCCCGCCGTTCATACAGACATCAATCATTGCTCGTCTAACCCCAGGCACGCGGGCAAGCGACTCGCAGCGTCGCAAGCAGTCAGGGCGCAAGAAGGAGGCGCAGGACCGCATGGGGTCTACTGAGCCTGGTCTTGAATATGACGTAGATCTGGCGGACCAATCGCGCCTGGCCCTGGCGCAGCCTCTGATTCAGAGTCCCCGCTGGCGCACGGGCGGGCAGCCTCCCCTCCTGGACTCTGCCCTCCAACCTCGTAGCTGCTCCCCCCTCCTGCACCTCCCGTCGCAGCTGACCGCTGGCCCCATGGGAACTGCGCGGGGGGGGGGGGGCATCCTGGAGACTGGCGCAGGGCGACTGGGGGGCGCGGCCCACCTGTCATCCCATCTGCGTCCGGAACGACGCCCGAACACGGCGCGTGAACATCAGCCCCGCATCGACGGGAAGTGGCTGATCAGCGCACGCCGCGCGCTGATGCCGCGCGGCCCGCCGAGCTCGCTATCAACGCATCCCGCGCACTTGTGGAGCGACCCTCGGCTCACGTGGCGCGCGTGGATGGGGCTGGGGAACCTACCGCGCCCCCCGCAGCCCCCACCCCCTCGGGGATGTCGACCTTCCCCTCGCGCTCGCGCTTGCCGGGCGACATCGCGTTGCCGATCGCGCTCTTGTGTCGGCTCGCAGGGTTCGCGGTAGTCTCATCGAGATTCGTCGTGGTGCACAGAGTGAACGCGTGGTTGCCACATTTGCGGCGGTTGATGCTGATCTGGCTGACGTTGCGCATCGCGGCACCAACGGCTGCGGCTGGGTCAATCGCACGCGCCGCGTCCGCCAGAGGATCGGCGCCCATGTCCGAGAGTTGCTCGTGCTGGAAAACAAGGTGTTCAATGGTCAACCCCCCCGCCGATCGAGTCGCGCATTCCGAACGCTAGCGCCGTATTCGTCGTGCACACGCGTTGGACCATTCGCAATGTAACCCGAGGACGCCCTCCGCAGGGTCGACGGCCAGATAAAAAGCCGCGGTAGTAGTCCAAATCCCCCATGTAGTTCCTCATTGCTGCCGCAATCCTGTATCGGGCACCATTGAGGCGCGACGATTGCGACGCATCGAGCACGCGAGCCGCCTTGTCCTGCACCACTGCTGTGAGCACGCAGTGAGCATGATAAGCCGCGCGGTACTGCGGCGGAAAAGAGGAACGCATCTGGGCCTTCAAGTGCGGGCCGATGGCGCCGAGGTATCTGGAAGGTGCCCTCCCAACTGCCAGTGTTTCATCATGCGCGCGAGAAGGCGCAACCGGCGACCCAGCGAGGCCAAAGAACCCAGCGCTGGGGACTGACACTGGGTCCACCAGGAAGGTCGGCAACGACCACACGTCCGCGGCGGTTTTTCGATCTTCCTCCGTGCACCACCAACTGTCAACGGCATGCCCAGTTGCCTGCGCAAGGGCGCCTGGGCATAGCGTCGGCGTCGGGGCTGGGCTCCCCATGTTGACACGGGGCGTGGCCTCCCACATCCCGAAGCCGATCACAAGCCCCCGAGCTACATTTTCACAGCGCGCGCGATAACTGCATTGAGCTACCTGCGCTCCCGAACCGCGCCGTCCACCGGCATCGTGGCAGCCGTGGGCCACTGATTGTCGGAGACGCCGGACATCTGACAGTCGCCGTGCCCCTCGCGAGGTCTCCTTGTCCCGCCATCCCGTTGGTCATGTAGATGGTCTGCGCGGAGCAGATCTTGACCTCGTCGGCGATCGAAGAAGTAATGCAAAAGGTGGCGAAATGGCATCCTGCTTGCACTCTGGGCGTGGTCGTAGCGAACGAGGTCTATCAATGCCACCGTAATTTAATCATTTCTGCCACCCTGCGGCTGTTGTTGAAATGACGCTTTGATGGCCGCAAACCGAACCGAGACCCGAAAACTGGGTCTGGAACCGAACCGGCCGAACCGAACCGGCTGGCCAAACCGAACCGGCCGAAACGAACCGGCTTGGCCCGCTGTGCGAATAAATCCGGTCGAACCGAACCAGCTGAACCAAACCGGCCGGAACCAAACCGGCGGAACCGAACCGGCCGAACAGAACCAGGTGGCCGCCCTCTTCAACCCTTGTCCAGGACCCCAAGTCCACCAGGACCCCCAAGACCTCAAGGAACCCAAAATGCCCCCAGGCGCCCCCAACACCCGAGGACCCCCAGGACACCCCAAAGGATCCAGGGAGAAACCCCCCAAGACCCAACCCCCCGCAGGACACCCCAGCATCCCTGAGACATCCAAGACCAAACCCCTCGGTCCAGAAACCCCCGGTCTGGACGCCCCAGTCCAATCCCCCGGTCATGGAATGTATATCGGAGGCCAAAATTTGTCCTGCGTCCTTACAAGCAGCAGCGCTTTTTAATTCCAATCGAAAGCAAACTATTTCTACTGAGTGCACCACTTTTGTTGATGTCTGCCCCGTGTGACACGCGATTGGCTGTGCATTTTCTTCGCGCACGGGCACGGGGCACCACCGTTTCGGCTCGCGTCGCAGGCCGGTTCGGTTCGACCGTTTCGGCTCGCGTCGCAGACCGGTCTTTTTTGGCCGTTTCGGTTGGCCCGGTTCGGTTCGGCTGGTTCGGTTTTGTTTTTTTGGACGGGTTCGGTTCGGCCAGTTCGGTTCGGCTGGTTCGAGTCGATGCAGACACGACCCCTCTGTCAGCCATCCCCTACGGGGACGGGGAGGGAAGAGGAGGGGAGGAGGGCTGGTCGGCCCTTACGGGGACAGGGGGGGGGCGAGGGAGGAGGAGACGGAGGAGGAGAGGGGAAGGAGCA